ATGGCATCATCAGAGTCTTGGCCATCCAAAAGAGCAGATCGTGGGGCAGTGGTCTGTGCATTTTATGAATGTCGGCAATGCCAGCCCTAAGACATGATTGGGGCTTAATGAAAGCAGGCCAATAGCCTATCTGGTGGGCTTTCAGCTGGGGGTGCCCAGGGTGTGACACCTGTTTCCCATTCACTCACAATCATTATGTTCTTCTCCACTTGTGCCTGTACTAAAATCTGCCCAGTTACCACCAATTGACCAAATTCACACTCAAACTAAATCTTATTTGTCAACCCTAGTAGAAGCAGCTTCTGGAGAGCAACTAGAAATCAAAAAGGGTGAGGCTGGCAGCTGGATCAATTAGAGTGAAAGACCATATTCTCAACTACGGCTTTTCAATCCTGGGCCCCACTCAGCCATCCTATGTGACACTGGACTTACTATGAATCTTAGCATTTTTTCCCTTTTTTCCAATTATCTTATCCCCTCTTTCATAAAAGAAATTGCTTAGCAGTCATCTTTAATAATGCCCCCTCCTTCCCACGCCCTCCACCCAATTTACCAGCAAGTCTTATCAATTCCATCTCAAAAATATACCTGCCCACTTCTCTTCATCTTCACCACTACCCTCTTGGTCCAGGCCACCATCATGATGCCTGGACCCCTAACACACCCTTCTCCTCAACCGGCTTCTCCACCTCCACTCCTGGCTTCCTCCAATTCATTCTCCAGCCAGTGCAACATTGACATTCCTAAAGTGGAAATCAGATCACATCACTGTCCTTCTTTAAACGCTTTCATTGCTTTCCACTGATGGACTAAAGCCCAGCCCGCTTACAGAGGCCAGCAGGTCTCTGCCTGTCTTGGCAATCTCGCCCGCCACACTGCCCTCTTGTTCTCGCCACTCCAACCCCACATTATCCTCTTAGTTCCTGTCTGCAGAGGGTCCCTGAGGAAGGACCTGAGAGAGGCCCATGTGTAGCCCAAGACTTTACACATAACAGGCAGTATTTTACAATACTTAACATGCTAATGGAGGAAAAAAGAAATAAGGACAGAAAATTATTTTATAGCCAATTGATTTGTTCTCCTATATGGAAGCTTCAAGGAGACATATTCTAATAGGTTTTAGAACAATTAGAAATTGTGCTTTGAAGGCTGGCAAAATCGAGATTGTATATGGAGAGGAAATGTATTGGATAGCCACGTTCCCAGTATGCAATGGGGTGCTCTGCACGTGTTTAAGCAGTGCTGGTTACCCTGTAGCAAGGAAAACTTCCTTTCTTTCTGGTCAAAGGACAGGACCCCGGAGAAATTCAAATAATTCAATTTAAAAGGGTTCTTAGTCAGTATAGCTATTTGCATCTGAAGGAAGTCATTTTTGAAGCAGCCCTTTCAGAATTCCAATTAGAAATTTAAAGCGTACCCACGCATAAATGGGAATACTTTAAATTGAGGTTTAAAACCATATTGAGGTTACTAACTTAATACTGTTTGAGCCATCAAATAAGTGTTCCATAGTACTTAGTTCATAACACATTTCAAGTTATATTTGGGTTAGTTTGGGTTAAGAGTCCCTTTAATTATTCTAATGAGGCTTACTTACTTGCCAAGTTATATTCTCATTCCATTTAGCCTATTATACTACTACTGTATATTTTTTTTATGAGGTCCCTAAAGTTGGTGCTAAGGTAGTCAGTTCTGTCCAGGGAAGATGAGAGTTTATCTTTGCGACTCCAAATTCATGCATTTATCCGCAAAGATTGATGAGCACCTACTGTTTTCCAAGGCTAAGCATTGGAGACAAAGCATGAATAAGGCCAGGTTTCCACCTTGCAAGAGTCTTTGATCCAGTTAGGGGTGAATAGGTGATTAGCATGCGGAGTGTAACTGGTCGGTAAAGGGGTTAAAGCAGTGTAGCATGAGTCCAGGAGTGTAGCAGGCTTCCAGGAGTGTCCTGTTGAAGCTGAGACACTAGGGAAAGCGAGCATGAGCCAGGCAGAGGAGGAGTGGGAATGGGTGCCCCCAGCAGAGAGAACAATCTGAACAAAGCCCTGGAGGCAGTGACCAGGTGGCATTAGCATCCCACATGCACTGGCCTCCATCGGGTCATTTATCTTGATCTTGTGGCCTCCTGAATCTCAGGAGGTTCCTTCCAGGTTCCCCTTTGTTCTTGGCTCAGGTAACTAAGGCTAACTGTGTAATACACCTTTTTCAGTCTCAGATTTGTTTCAAATGGGAAATCTTTAAGAGGCAAAAAAAAAAGTTAATCATGTGCTTTGTATGTTGCTGAGGATAAATTCAAAAAATAAGAATGATGTGAAATAAAGCAGACAGCCAATGAAGATGTAATTCAAAAGAAACATTTTAAAAACGGTATTGAATTACTTTAATCCTAGATTTATGAAATAATTTAGGGCTCAGAAGAGTGACTTTAATTTTTTACTAGAAGTTAGATTTTTTTTTTACTTGTGTTTTAGTGCATTTTATTAAAATAAGCTTCACAAGGGCAAGAATCTCTGCTGTTTTGCTTTACTGATGTTTCCCAAGTGTCTAGAATAGTGCTTGGCACATAGTAGGCACTCAATAAATACTTGTTGAAAGATACAATGGCTTTTATGGAGAAAGTACATTATTCTGTGTAAGTTTCCCTCATCCTGGACTCTTGACTATCAAGGGTCCACGGGGCTCCAAAGAAGGAGGGACTAGGGCCCTCTGAGAGTGGCAGCTGCGGTGCCAGCGCTGCAGATAAACCAGGGACGACATTATTAAAAGGAGGGGCCTGTGGCGCCTTGGTCATCTCATCGAGGTTTTGCGTAAATGTTGTCTTTATATGGTAGATGGACATGATTCTTAGCTTACAATCCCAGGTGTTCTGTAAATCCACTTCCTATTTTGCAAGAGTGTTGAGGGGAGTTTGCCCTCAAATGGTACTGGGGTCACACACACACAGTTGTGCCAATGTCCCTGGGCCTTCCAAGGTCAGACTGGCTACCACTGAGAAGCCCAATATTCCAAGGCTTTGTCCCTCCCAACCCACTGGTTTTGCTGCTCATGGTTGAGAGCCATCTTCTCTGAGGTCCTGATACCTTTAGGGAGCATGTGTCCCAGCTAATCACATGATTGCCATCCTTTGCTCTTTCCAGTCTCTGGGATGTCCTTAAGCATCACCAAGTCAGTCTTCTGGACTCACTGTGAACTCACTTCGATCAGCTCCGCTATGTCTGCTTTCTGCCCTGCAAAAAAAATCTCTGAGACAAAGAAATACAGTCTGGCTAAAGGCATGTACCTGGGGGTGGGATGGAGAAAACACAGGGAGAAAAAACAAATTATCTCAATAAATTATTTTGCCCCACACAGTACTGTACGGCCACTTCAACAGTCTTCATGCACAAGCCAACTAAGAAAATACCCCTAAGAAAAGCCCAAGGACCGGAGGCCCAATGCTCAACTTTGAGAACATTTGCTCATACCTCCGTGACAGTAAATAGAAAGCAAGGAACCTGGGCACATGGCTCCTGGCTCAGAGCTCACTTTGGCTGG